TGATGCAGTTAGGTGCTTATCGTAGTGTGTCCTATCCACTTCCACCGCTTCTTCTTGATTTCCTCCTCCATTGGAATCTGGTTTGTTCTCTCCCACAGTACGTTGTTGCTGATGGTGTCAGCTCCTCTCTCGGTTCTCACATCCTTCATAGTCCAGATATACGGTCGATTTGGTTCTGAGTAGTGTGATCTGGTGAAATCCATGTAGCTTTGTGTTGGCGTTTGTGTGGGAATATTGTGCCACCGATGACCAGTTTGTTGAAGGCACATAGGTTTGCGAATCTCTCACCATTTTCGTTCCTTTCTCCAAGTTTATGTCGTCCCACGATGTCTTCATATCCAGTGTTGTCCATGCCAATCTTGACATTTAGATCTCCCATCAGAATGGACAAATCCTTTGGTGAGCATCTATCGACGATTGACTGCAACCTTTAGTAGAATTGATCTTTATCGTCGTCGTTGTAGTGGTTGGTAGGTTCGTAGAGCTGGCTGTCTTTCATTGTAATGTCCTCTTTCTTTGTTTTGAAGGATGCTTTAATGATCCTCGGTCCATGAGATTCCCATCCTATCAGTGCCTTTTGTGCTTGTTTGGACAGCATCAGTGCAACTCCTTGTGTATGTGAAGCATTTTCCTCTTCATGACCAGAGTATAACAGCAGTTCCCCTGAAGCAAGTCTCAGTTGTCCTACCTGTGTCCAATGCGTTTCACTGATGCCGAGCACCTCGAGGTTGTATCTTTTCATTTGTGCTGAAACTTGAAATAGTCTTCCAGTCTCCTACAATGTACGAACGTTCCATGTACCTAAAAGAATGGTTGCTGTGGTTGTCAAAAGAGAAATCGGCCCCGTGACTTCCGAGGGAACTCGGCTTTCATCACGCGACGTCATAATTCTTCCTCCAACTCCCAGGGCAGAGTTAAAATTGTTTGAGTTATTTGTTCTGGTTAGTGTTTTTTTGGCAAGTTAGTTTATAGTTTGGATGGGGTCGCCAACCCCATGTCAAACCCCTACTCCTTTATCCGGGGGCTTGGGACCGGAAGTAGCCCCGAAGGGACTACAGGCGAAGTTAGCATTTATATGAAATTATAGATATCTGTTGTGCCCTTATTTAGTTCGAAAATTAACTAAGTGTTTAGTTGTTTCTTTTATTAGACTTAGCAAATTTATTAGGCAGAAGTCGCGTTTAATGAGAGGGAGCAACATTATTCAATAATTCACTAACGCAGTAATTTTATTCACTTTTCATCAATTAATCGCATTAAAACTTATCCATATACTTTGGTAGTTTTCCACGTTTTCCACTTTAGTTGTCTGATGTAATAATTATATTAATAATAGAATAGTGTAAACAGAAGAGGATGTTTGAAAACAATATTTCATTTTACATTTTACAATGCCCAACCGAATCAGTAAAATAGATGGTGTTATGCATATCTCTACTGAGCGATTGATTATTAAACATATCTATTCATTTAAGGAAAGTGTAAGCCATCATTTGTTGGGAAGGCAGCTCAAAAACTTCGTAGAATTTTTGAATCATTCAAATATTGAAACATTTCATCCAACTACAGACATTTTGAATGACATCAAAACAAGTATTCTTATTTTGCTTTGTCCACTATTAATTTGACTAGGTAATAAGTCACATCGAAATGAAAGAATAACTTATAGTAAACAAATTATTCAGTCGTGTGAAACTTGTAGTTCAATAGACTTTGATGGAAATGACTAAAGAAAAAAGAAGTATACTGATATAAAACTAATCTGGAAATTAAATTGAATTCACACAACATTTCATGTGACAACGTAAAAAAATATTTTCAGAAAAGATAGAAAAGTTGATCGTTTGCGTAAATGCCTACATAGATGATATTTCTCTTGCCAAAAATTTGTTATGGATGGTGGATATATATATATATATATATATATATATATATATATATATATATATTTAATTGATATAATTTTATCTTGATAAATTGAATGTTCACTTTCATATTTGTTTATATGTATAAACGATGTTGTGTTTTACCTATTTGATTTCTTGGGAAATTTGATAGAATCATGTTTAGTTAAGAACCGAAATGCCAATAATCTCAAAAGTCATACAAATCTTCTATTCACTTCTATTAATTTTTATTATTATTATTATTATTATTGTTATTCTAGTCTATTATCATTCATAGTAGTATTTGTAGCGAGATTAGTAGTATTGTTATTATTATTATTATTATTCTATCATATATTTATACTTGGATAACTCAAACCCACACCTGCAAATTTACATCACTAGAAAATGTGTTTTTTTTCACATATACAACATAATATAATTATTGTGTGTTTTATACTCCCAACATGGAATCAGAAAAACAAAATCACAAACACAATTGACATTGGCATGATTAATTTATTTGCGTCTTCAAAGTTATTATGATTATTATTGTTATTACGATTATTATTATTATTATTATTATTATTGTTAGTATGATTATTGTAATTTACTTGTGTTCAGGTAGTTTACACACTGACTAAAATCACTGTGAATTATAAATTATACAAATGAATATCAGTAGATTGCCTAGATTAGGGGTGGTTATAGTTTCGCTTACACTTACCTGTTTGTTATGCTTTATATATAAATATAAAATGTCTTACTTATCAAAAAAAGAAAACTGATTAAGTAGCAGAAAATGAAAGTGAATATTCTCGCTTAGTGTGTGTGTGTACTACAAGACAAATCAAAAACATCTCATTCACTTATATTTGACAATTTGTATATGCTTTTAGAAAAATATATACAAATTGGTGTATATAAGTCATAGTAATCATGGACATAACTACAATACACTACTATTCGATGGAGTTTTTTTAGGTGACTAAAATTTATTCTGTGAATATCATTAAAAACTTACTTTGGATTGCCTTGTATTTCTCTATGATTCTAGTTTTTTCTTGTGTCGCTAATATGAAAAAAGGAGTTTGTTTTCGGTAATTTATTGGGTCAAGTTAATACAATATAATGTACATTCACATAGAAAATTCATTAAAGGATATAAATTAAAATAATTGTTTAGCTGTAAATATCAACAATGAAAGAAAATAAAGGTAATTTTTATAAATTATACAGAGAAATAGGAAAAACACTATTATTGCGAATAATTTCTGTCTAACGAATAAAGAATAGAAAACTTTTTTTTGAATTCTATATTTCAATTTGAATGTAAAATTCTTACTGAATGTTCTAGAAAATGTTCAACAGATTAAGTGCACGTATTCATGATTAAATGCTCGAACAATGTAGATCGAAAACATGGAAGATGTTTTGAAATAATGTTTGTTGCTGTTTAAACCTATTTAACTTGTTTCTACATTTATTTCATGTAGACTGTTTACGTTTAGGAGCGGTACGCTATAATTTACACTTTATACTTTATTAATATTTAGTGCGTTTCGCTGTCAAAGACCCACAAAACGATGTCTGTATTTGTATATTTGTACATATATATATATATATATATATATATATATATACATATATATATATATGTTACATGCAGCTAGGTAATTATATCACCCATACTTTGAAGAAAATATTAATGTACTAATACCGCATAGAAAGTATGAAAAAACGTGAATTTACTTGGTAGGTTATTTTCAAATCGTATTACATTGATATAAAATAAGAACTTTTATTTTTAATGTTAAAATATTATAAATTAGTTTATATAAAACTAGCACTGTAGTTTGTTTTAACATAAATTCAAGTTCCTCTATCTTTTGTATTATTGCACTAAGATTTGTAACATGCGAAGTAGGTTCTATCGATTAAACTATTGCTCAAATCTCTTTTGTCTATATTTTTTTTCTATCTACCTCGAAGTGGATTATGGGTGAATCTATTCAGCCATTTGGAATATTTTTTTTAATTTAGTGACATTATCAAGTGTTCACTGATTTCGGTCAATTTTAAGTGTGAGAAGTCACTTTCATTGATTATTTCCAATATAAGCGGCTTCGACCATTTTAATATTTGTTTCACATTAAAACGATATAGTTACTGTCTAGTAGCATACTAAAAGACTTTGAAAGGTCAAACAAAATAAACTTCTTCAAGGTAATAATTATGAGAAGCAACTTTACTGTTGAAAAATCCAAACCATCGGGAAATTACGACAAAACAAGCGAAATCCAGAAATAATGAGTACCAAGAACACGAAGTATATACTCATTGGGAAGATGTGAATTGCCTGAGTGATTTTGTGTATTGCCTTGTTTATTTCCGGGTGGAAAATCCTTTGCATATTGTACTCTTGAAGAGATGGTGGTGTCGAAGTTAGTCAGCATTCATCATTAAATTAAATAAGCAAATTAATTAGTAAATTATTATTTGCTGGGAACCGGTAACTTTAAATCTGCTCTGGAACTCCAACTTCTTTGGTGTTTGTGCGTATATTAAGTGACTTACAAAAAAATATCAGAAAATTCAAATTATTGAGCTAATAAAATCATTCCACACAATGTTCGTTCAGTTTATCCTCATATTTAATATTGTTTAAATAAACGAAAAATATCATCCCTAGTAGTTTCATTCATCTCACCAAACATTTTTTTTGACATAACTTTGACAGTTGCATAATCTTAATCTAGATCAGTAATTTTTTTCCACAGCGTTGCAGTTGTTATCTTTGATTGTAATAATGTTTTACTTAAATTATGTAGTATTTATTAAATTTATTTTTTCTTATTCTGATTGCAGAGTAAGTGATTAATGAATCTTCACAAGAAAAGAAATCCAATTGTTGAATTAGCAAGTGAACAAAAAACACAACTTTTTTTCTAAAAATGCAAATTATATTTCGAAGCATCGTTCATTGGTCTTATTTCTTTCTACATTGTTTTAAAAATTTTCTTCACTGTACATTGATGAATGCGTTCAATAAACTTCAAGATTGATAATTCTTTTTGTTTTCATATTTATCTGCAGTATGCATTTGTTTGTATTCTATAAATTTTCTGGTGATTTAGCCAAATTACAAGCAGAAAATGGATGTGATATCACTGTATTTGATTTGATTGTCTCCTTACAAACTGATTCTAATTTCGGTTTTTTCATTACAGGCATATTACAGTCATATTGGTTTTGTTTAATGTTCTTTTCATTGTAATATGACGCTGTGGATAAATAGTCATGCGAATCCATTTTGAAATTGATTGGAATCTTTTGATAATCAACTGGTTCCGGAGTGAGGTGTTTGTTGAATTTTCTAAAAACATTTTATGTAACAATAAATGTGTTAGATTAATTTCATGGATTCCTATCAGTCTCACTACAGTAAAAGAGAACAGTTAAAAGATGATAAAACAAGTTCATCATGTTCATTAAATTATCTGCTGTTTTATACAACTTTATTCCTAGAGAACAACAATGGGATGAAACAAGAATGATGTGGGACAACGATATAAAGTACATTGTGTAATAACTGTAGGACAGATTCTAGTAATTAGGTGGATAGAAATAATAGACTAAATTCAAGGATTATTTTGAAATTGACAAAACCATAAGTGAATGAATGTAGTATTCAACTATAGTTATAGCCGAAAGCGACGATAACTGAAAATTTGGATCTATTATTAAATTTGTAAATCAACTAGTATTTTTGCTTTACTCACGCATAAAGCTCAAGTTGTTTGTCAATATTTATTTTTAGAAAATCAACTGTTATTACTCAAATATCGCGACTCTGTACTTTTAAGAATCGTGATAACGTTGAATATCAAGCTCATTGGAACGTACTCAGATATACAAACATAAATACATATATATATATATATATATATATATATATATATATATATATATATAGCGGATAGCCTCGATATTATAAGTAGAGATGGATGGTGACCAGTAGTGGAATAAAGGACAAGAGTTTCATCCAATTTGTGGATCGTTAGCTGGATGAACTTGCATTTCAGAGTTATTGCTCAACCCGAGACTTAAACTCATAACCATTCGCTTTGAACAGCACTGCATTATTTGTAACGAAAGCACCACTAATATTCATTTGATACGTCAATAACCCCTAGATATGCTTTTCATAGGTTATTCATCAAAATGTAAAACTATGGCCTTAATTGTCCTTGAAAGCCATTTTTGTTGATATCCTTTGTCGAGGAAGCCTGAGGGACATTAGTAAGTACCATAAATAGAAATTTAGATACATTACAAATACTCTGTTGATTTATTCAAAAAAGTTACGCATGTGCTGCATATGAAATATGGTATTGCTGGATATAAAATAATTTGGGTGAATCAACAGAAAACTGGTTTTATTCAATTCTGCATATGCTGATATTTCATGAAAACAATACTTAGTCATTAAACATATGGAAAAACATTGCTGAGAAGTTTTTTGATCGTTTGATAGTTAGCAACTGAGTCACTGAATACAGTACAGCACAAAAGGTAATTGGTAAAGGCATACAGAAAAGTCAAAACTCATTTCAGAACTAACATTGTCCAAAGAGTTGAAGTAACTTTTTCATTTTTTGTTGAAAATAGCTGTAGCAGTAATATTGTTTGGAAGTCGCTATCTTGTCAGTAAGTAATCACAAAATCATTCCAATAAATCAGGAAGCAAAGAGTAATATCATGTGTTTAAAACTATCTCAGGATTAGCCACAAAGATCTTAAAGTTAATTAAAATCTATGTTGCTCTCAAACAAACACAACCGCAAAAGAAAAGACCTTATAACACAGCTAGACAAGCACAATATCATCTATAAAAATATTACATCAACTGAGATGACTAGAACAATTGATAAATAAGCCTAGTGGTCAGGTCGATTTGAGAATAATGGTAAATCTTTCTAAACTTTCTTTATTAATCTGTATGGATAATTTTCTATCTGGTGTTTAGAGATAAGTCAAAAAAGACACTCATGAAGAACGAACAGGTAAATAGGAATAAGAAATCCTTCACTTCATAGTATGATAGATGATAATCTGCTTTAAAAAACAACAATGATAGCTTCACAATTAAACCATCCATTTCAGAAAATTCAAGATCATTAAAAGTGTTACAAAATGATTAACAGTCCTATTGAACGACTGTTCATATTTCATTTTTGAGTTGTGCCTTCAACCATCAATTCACTCATTACCGGCGACAAGATTTAACGTTTAAATTAGGTAAACAAGAGATTATTGTGTGCAGAACTCCAGTAAAATATCTGTGTAATCGTTCTTTTTATGTAACTATTATCTGTTTTGTTTTAATGGCTTTCCATAGTACTCAAATGATCACATTTATCAGTTCTAACTCTGGTTAGCTTACTTGTAACCTGAGGTATTATGGTTAGTAAGTCTACAGCTAAATATACTACACATCATATCACTACAATTCTTTATAACAATTCAGAAATGAATAATAATGTAGGCACCCTATTTGGATTAGGCTAGCCAAACCAACATCATAGAGATTTCTGTTCACTGGCATTTATTGAAACAGAAAAATTTTAACCTAAAGATCACTGTCACACCAGTTGTCATAATAGATATAATAATTGTTTTTTGGCAGCATCCACTAAAATTTGTCATTAAGCCGTAAACTTACATATGTATATAAATATAAGGTAAATAATAATGCTCGAGACACTGTGAATAAATTATACTCACCTTTCTGAAACAGTTAACGGTGAACTGTTACTTTGGGTTTCATAATTTATAAATGGAACTGATTTTGGAGTTGATTGTGATTTATAATTTACAGGATAGTTTTCATTTAATAAGGGCATTTTATGAGTACATGATTTAGTAGCGGATAGACGACTCCTTCTTCCAACAGATACAATACAGTAGGTCAATACTAAACAAATATCATCTGTTTGCAATTGTCTGCAAGATAATTCTTGTTGATTAAATGTTAAATTTGGTTCAATCGATGACCATCCATGTCCGTACACAAAAAGTGGATAATCATTTGCGACATTCAAAATCAGTTTTCTGTCCACCTTGAAAGTTCAAGCAAAAGATCAATTGTAAAGATGTTAGTATTTCAATTCAATGTATAATAATTAGTCGGTTTTAGTTAACAGTTGATACACAGGATAGTATATGGATTAAGATTAAGAATGACTGATTTCATCATTGAATCATATGAACTTAATTGAGGCAAAAAGTATTATACTCTCGGAGAATTTAAATTCACTCAGCTGTAAATATTTACAGCCGAAAGAAAATTCAATTAAAATATGTTAATTACTTTTTCAATGCTTTACTACTTCTATATTGAAATTATATTTAATTTACAGCAAATATATGAAAATTCTTTAAGTTTATTATAGGCGATTATCATAGTCCACTTCAGATGATTATTCTAAACGTAAATTTTATTGCCATTTAACAAGTATTCTAATTAAGTATTTTTTGTACGATTAACAAGTAAAATATTCTATTCACTTCTTACTATAATTTACTCTAGAAGCTGTTTAATCGAGAAAAATGTATCGTAAACAGTTGTGCAAATTTACTGTCAGATGTACAACTGGATTCGAATTAATGCAAATTAGAGACACGAAATGATCATACACTGAATGAATCAATAAAATGATGTTTTCTTTGGTAGTTTGATTTAATTTATTGTAGAAACATAAAAACTTGGAGTAACTTGATAAATTTCACTTCCAGTCAGTCAATGTGAAATAAACCATGACTTAAAGACTATCTATATCTATATCTAAAAGTCACATATCTTGATTAATGAAATATTTGTCAAGTTTTATGTATCACCTTGTTCAAATTTTAGTTGGATGATAAAGTGATGTGGTTCTAAACATTCTTCGAACATTGATAAAAAATAAATAAATAAATACCGCTCAGTAATTGTCGATGAGCCATACTTTTCATATGTGAAATAATATACAGCTTTGGTATATAAAGGGAGGTTCGACTTTGTAGCTGAATAACTAAAAAGCATACAACTCATGAAGAATGCCATCTACTTTATTGAAGAACTCATTGCATGGATTCTAAGATTCAAAAACTTCCAGAAACAGCATTGAACTGAAGAAATTATAGTTTGTTTAAGCTGCATTACTTTGGATTGCTTAATGTCCTAGTTAAAAATTTAAATCATTACATTTTGTTTCATTAGCATAGAATAAAATTACCAGAGCTGTATATTAACAGAATACATTTTTATTGGCTAGAGTAACATTATAAACTTATATTTAAAATCTCAGTTTACTCCATATTTTGTGTGCTCCCTTACGTGTACAGATAAAGTGAAAACTTAACTGGGAGGAAATTCACAGTTCGAAATTCCTTGAAATTATATTTCTTTTATCTTGTCTACATTTTTGTGCTAAAAATACATTCATAGTTTCAAGAGAGTGACTTGCATCAAAAGCAATCATTTTCGAGAAAATCACTCAGCTCATTACCATCATTTGTATCAGTTGTTGTCTGTATAGTTAGTGTTCCGTAATTGTAGCATCAGTGGTTTGTAATCTCAAAGAAAGTTCAGAAGATTAAATGCTGCCTTTGATGATGATGATGATGATGATGATGATGATGATGATGATGATGATGATGATGATGATGATGATGATGATGATGATGATGATGATGATGATGATGATGATGATGATGATGATGATGATGATGATGATGATGATGATGATGATGATGATGATGATGATGATGATGATGATGATGATGATGATGATGATGATGATGATGATGATGATGATGATGATGATGATGATGATGATGATGATGATGATGATGATGATGATGATGATGATGATGATGATGATGATGATGATGATGATGATGATGATGATGATGATGATGATGATGATGATGATGATGATGATGATGATGATGATGATGATGATGATGATGATGATGATGATGATGATGATGATGATGATGATGATGATGATGATGATGATGATGATGATGATGATGATGATGATGATGATGATGATGATGATGATGATGATGATGATGATGATGATGATGATGATGATGATGATGATGATGATGATGATGATGATGATGATGATGATGATGATGATGATGATGATGATGATGATGATGATGATGATGATGATGATGATGATGATGATGATGATGATGATGATGATGATGATGATGATGATGATGATGATGATGATGATGATGATGATGATGATGATGATGATGATGATGATGATGATGATGATGATGATGATGATGATGATGATGATGATGATGATGATGATGATGATGATGATGATGATGATGATGATGATGATGATGATGATGATGATGATGATGATGATGATGATGATGATGATGATGATGATGATGATGATGATGATGATGATGACAATTATCTAACACCAATATTACTGTAATAATTCTCAGTTACTCAATAAACAGCCTTAATACAACACTAAAATCTTCAGTGTAATTCATTACAGACATTTACTGGATGATACTAATTTTGATGATATAATTTTCTTGAATACAGAAGGAATTGAAAATAATGTTAAAAGACAATCGTACCATAAAATGTATGAAAATAAAACATTACAAATAGAGTGTCAAGTAAAACTGAGATTAAACTATGACTTAGTACAGATAATACAATGAAAATCCATTTTATTAATGTGTATAGAGATAACAGGATTATTTATCAAAATCTTATTACATTTATTTATTACTAGCTCTATTTTTTTTGATAAATAATGGTAATATGCCCTTGGGGTAGATTAATGCTTGATTTCAATGAAACGTAATCTGTATACTACCCCATGGGATTTAAATGGAATAAATTTTTCGATGGACTTGTAGAAAAGGACCATATCTTTTGACGATAAATTTTATTACGTCCACTTTATTCATTTAAATAGAACAAATATAAATAAGTGGAATAGTATAAACCAAGACTAGCGATAAAGAGAGAAATGAGAACAACAGTAAGAACAGGGACCTTAATAGAAAAATGTTACAACCTTAGAAAAAGAACGAAATAATAATAATAATCAATTGACCTATGGGGCATAAGTCATTAAATAAAATAAAGAGGAAAATAATACAAATGGAACAGAGAGAACATTTTTTTTTATTCCATTATTTATAAATAATAAAAAAAATAATGCAGTAATTGAAAGCATTGCAGAGATTATCACTTAATAATTGACTTTAGGATATAAAATCAACTCTTAAAAGACTTATTAAATGAAACATTTAATGAGTGAAAGTATATAGTAGGTAGACAGTTAAGTTTGACTGATACTAGCAAAGAAATTCAAGGGAGGGCGATAAGAGAAGACAATGAACGCGTAGGATAAAAGAAAGAGTTGAATTGGAAAATCAGTTGCCTATAAGGGAGATTAAACAACAACGAGATAATACCTAATGCTCTGGTCAATTTGTCAGCATGAATCTAAATTACTCATTTATACAAATAAACAGAAAGACAAAAATAAGATTGTGATAAACACAAATACTCCGTTAAAGTGACAACAATATTAACAATAAATGTACTGTAACATAGTGGTAATCGGACATAGTAAATATTGATATTATCTCCTAATAAATAATCATATTCAAGCTGTCAAATACACTTAATGAATTGAAATGCTCAAGATCCAAGGAACTAAATAACTGACTGTATTCTAACTGTTTTGGGATAGACCTACTCAACTTTTTTTAGTTCCTATCAATATCTTCAAAGAACACTGAGATTTACATGTATAGTTAGTGTTATTTATAATCAGTATTCCCATTCTTTCTTCTCCTGATAAGAACTTGGTCTCACAATTATTTAAGAACTGGCAGACATTAAAAGATGGAGGCTAATGATTTCACAAACAGCTTCGTAATATAAATATCTGTTCATGTAAGTCAGTGAAGATTGAATATCATCTTTTTGTAGGTTTTCATAAATTGATTCATAACAACGCTGCATAATCATTTCTAGTGTTCAAAGTCCGATCGAATACCACTTCGAGTTTAAAGATCTCTCGGGTTTATTAATAAAACTAATTACTTATTTATGTAGGTTAATATTTAGGTTAATTTTTAGGATGATAAGTCTGGAGATATTGTGTTTGTTGATTGTTGTTAAGCCCCATAAACTGCTTTTAGGTAACCAACCATTATAAACCAAGCAATATTAGTATGGGGTTCTTTATAGCAATAGACATTCATTGTCACGCTAAGGAATTAACACAGGTGTGCGCAGAGAATGGAATAAAGCTTGGCCATTTTTCCAATATTCTTGTCATATTTAATGTCATATTTATTGTTTTATGTTACTGGAAACCATATATTATGGATAATCATTTTAAAAATGTTTAGGATGTTAAAACGTCTGACAACCAACATGTCCATTTCAAATGTGATCCATCAAACATCTTATATTACATTTTACAATTGAAAACTTGATATTCCACACCAAATAAACTGAATGAGATAAAATGCTTGTTCAAAACCAATTGAAGTTAGTGACTAAGATCACTTCTCAAGTTTTTGCCTATCATTTGTCACAGTAATGAAAAGCCTCACATGTAGTAAATCGATTATAAATCCATCTGGACAATAGATTCTCAGTTAAACTTCCCTATCTGACTTTGAGAAGTAGCAGATCATTGCAAAATGCATTTCAGTCTAATGCGTTGGAAGCAAGATTCGAATATCTAACTGTAAGTAAAAATATCCATATATCTGTGGTTCCAACGGTTCATGAAGTTGAGGAAAACGTTTAAGACTACGTTTCAAGTAAATTAGACTCTGTTAGATTGTGTTTCGACGACAAATTAACAATTGTCTGCATAACAAGTAAGTTGATCGAATCCAAAATTTTTCCGACGTTTCACAAATTCTCTCACATTTTAGAATATGATAAAAAAAATTCACTATATTAGCACACATGCATTTATTTTGTATGTTCGTATAATTAGTAAAAAACCCTATTTCATACTAATTTATCAAGAAAAAATTCCCATCTACGAAATACAAACTGGTTATGACTCGTATTTATTGTCTTAAAGTTAGACAACTTATGTCAGATTATTACTTTCCAATCATACATTTTATCCCTTATACTAAAAGGACTGAATTATTATTATTATTATTATTATTATTATTATTATCAATTATTCCTTGAATCCATACAAGTTTGTTAAAAATAGTCTTATTTATTCTAATCATGAATATAGATAATCTACACTGAGCATGTAAAGAAAAACAACATTATTTCGATTGTTTATTCATTTGTTTAAAGATAATTTTCTATTATTCACAAGAATCAATGTACAATTTATTGAACATTGATGTGCTTGAAACAGCAAGAGAATGTTTGATGCATAATAAGTATATATATATATATATATATATATATATATATATATATATATATATATATATATATATATATATATATATTATTCTCCTTTAATTTAAGAACAATGCAGTTGAAAGTTTTCTATTCATTATTACAGATTTCTAGTTTCCATAAATTTTTTCACGAAAATAGAAAAAACTATTGAAACAAAGAAAAGTAATCCAAGATGAAAGAGCGAGAGAGAGGAAAACGTGTACAAATGGGAAGGAATTGTTTGTGTGTTTTTCTGAACTATGTGCCATTATGTTTATTTCGTTCCAACTAAAAAGATTCACAATCTAATTTAATATTCGAATGTTTAAACATCACATCTATCAATAGATTAATCAACAGATATTCATCATTACCATAAGTTTGTTAACTAATAAATTTATTGTTACTTACTGTTTTTAACAAACTAACATTGTTTAAAATGAACACAGTAATTTTTTTCTGTTTACTTCAATATTCTACTAATAAGTGAAATATGAGTTTAATGAGTATGGTATGGAAAGTATTCACTCACTGACACTAAGATAAAATTAATAAAACATGTGAAAAGAAATTAATAACTATAGTTTTTTATATCATGAATAAGAAACATGTATGGTAATAAATTTTTACTGAATAAATATAATATGAAATGATGAGAAGGAATATGAATATGTTACTTTTAGGAAACGCTTAAACAACGGTTTAAGACTGAATAAAGTATCAACATACTAAGTAGAATTTCGGGTTGAATTTACTAATAGCTGAATATTGAGGTCTAGTCTGGAGAGCTGGATTAAACTGCAAAATCGTACACGAAGGACAGCTAACAGACTCGTTCGAGGTGAAGACCGGTGTCAGGCAAGGTTGCTTACTCTCTTCCTTTCTTTTTCTCATGATCATCGACTGGATTATAAAGACGTCAACATCAGGAGGGAAGCACGGTATTCAATGGACAGCTAGGACGCGGATGGATGATCTGGACTTCACAGATGACCTGGATCTTCTATCGCATACGAAACAACAAATGCAAGAGAAGACGACCAGTGTAGCAAAAGCCTCTGCAGCAGTAGGTCTCAACATACATAAAGGAAAAAGCAGAATTCTCCGATGCAACACAACATGCACCAACCAAATCACTCATGATGAAGATGCCTTGGAGGACGTTAACACCTCTACATCATCGACAATCAAGGTGGATCAGATGCCGATGTGAGGGCGCGGATCGGCAAAGCAAGGGCTGCATTTCTACAATCGAAATATATCTGGAACTCCAAATAAATATCATTCAACACCAAAATCACGATTTTCAATACAAATGTGAAGACAGTTCTACTGTATGGAGCGGAAACTTGGAGAGCTACGGAAGCCATATTCAAGAAGATACAAGTGTTTATTAACAGTTTTCTACGCAAAATACTCCGGATTCGTTGTCCAGACACTGTCAGCAACAACGTATTGTGGGAGAGAACAAACCAGATTCCAATGGAGGAGGAAATCAGGAAGAAGCGGTGGAAGTGGATAGGATACACACTACGAAAAGCACCTAACTGCGTCACGAGACAAGCCCTCACATGGAACCCTCAAGGCAAAAGGAAAAGAGGAAGGCCAAGGAACACATTACGTCGAGAAATAGGGAAAGATATGAGAAGAATGAACAAAAATTGGGAAGAACTAGAAAGGGAAGCCCGGGACAGAGTTGGTTGGAGAAAACATTATGGGCATCCTTTGCTCCATTGTGGGTAACATGCGTAAGTAAGTAAGTAAGCAAGCAAGTCTGGAGAGCCTTATTGCAGGGCGATCAGTAAGCTTGATATTGATTACTACTCCTTGACAATACAGAGATATATTTCATTTAAAAAATTTCTATGCCTTAGCAGTGCAGTATTTATTGCCAGTTTAAAACTGTAACTGATAAAATAGAATCCAAACGTCTTTCAACATGGATGGTAGTGATGTATTAACGACTAGTAGTTTAGTGTAATTTGATAAATGTGTTGAAATCTAAATTAGATTGAACGATTGATTTCATGATTCAAGTGAGAATAAAACTTCTACAAAATTTTGGCATTTCAGGAGATACTCACAAATATGAACATCGTTAAGGCTAAGAGAGGAATCACTTACTTACTTACGCCTATTACCTACAATGGAACACAGGCCACTGACCAGCGTTCTCCCACCTAAGCTGCCTTGAATCGTCCTTTCTAGTTCGGTCCAATTGTTGTTCATTCTTCTGATGTCTCTCGTTATTTTTAGGTGTAATGTTTTCCTTGGCCTTCTTCTTTTCCACTGACCCTGAGAATTCCAAGTGAGGGCTTGTTTTGTGACTCAGTTGAGTGATGTCCTCAATGTGTGTCTTATCCACTTCCAGAGCTTCTTCCTGATTTCCTCCTCCACTGGAATCTGGTTTACTCTCTCACACAGTCGGTTGAGGCTGATAGAGTCTGGCCAACGAATGAGGACTATATATATGAGGATATATGAGGATTTTATAGCATCCAAAGTTTCACTGTCAAGAACATGTTGTACATGTTGTGTTGTATGGTAGAATCTTGCTTGTTCCTCTATGTATGTTGAGACCTACTGCTGCTGACGCTGCCTCTACACTCATCGTCTCCTCCTACATTTCTTGTTGTATGTGCGATAGAAGAGCCAGGTCATATGAGAAGTCCAGATCGTTCAGCTGCGTCCTAACTGTCCAGTTGATACCGTGCTTCCCTCCAGATGTTGACGTCTTCATAATCCAGTCGATCACCAGGAGAATGAGAAAGGGTGAGAGTAAGCAACCTTGCCTGACACCGGTCTTCACCTCGAACGAGTCTGTTAGCTGACCTCCGTGTACGATTTTGCAGTTGAATCCATCATAAGAATTCCGTATGATGATGAATATCTTCTTAGGCACGCTGTAGCCCTGAAGAAGCCTCTAAAGTTTTGTCCTGTCCACTCTATCAAACGCTTTCTCGTAGTCGATGAAGTTGATGTAGAGTGGTGAAGTCCATTCAATTGATTGCTCCACAATGATCCGTATTTTTGCAATTTGGTCGGTAGACGATCGATCCTTACGAAATCCAGCCTGTTGATCTCGAAGTTCGGCATCTATGAAGTCCTTAATTCTGCTTAAAAATACCCTGTTGAAGACTTTGTCTGGTATTGAGATAAGAGTGATGCCTCTGTGGTTCTCACACTTGCTGAGATCGCCTTTCTTTGGTGATTACTTCGCTTTCCTTGCTTTTCACTGGTCATTCTGGTTTACGATAGTTTCCAGTGAGCTTCTTTGTTGTATCGTACAATTGTCTTAAGTTCCCTACTCTTGCAGCCTTTTCCGCCGTCATTTCTAGATCTTCCACATATTTTCGTTTGTCGGCTCTGATGCTCCTCTCCACTTGCTTGTTTGCTTCTGTGTATTCAGCATATGCCTTAACCTTCTCTGCTCTTTTCCGGCTGATGTTGATTGGTGCCCTGTTGTCCTACCTTTCTTCAACTTTTTCAAGAGTACCAACAGACATCCAATCCTTATGATGGTACTTCTTATGACCCAGCAGCTCCTGACATGTTGAAGTGATTGCCTCCTTGATCCCTTTCCAATTGCTCTCCATAGTAGTTTCCTTTCCATAGAGTAGATTGTGCAAGGCTTGGAACCTGTTGTTGAGGGCTATCTTGAGTTGGCTGAGTTTACCAGTATGCCAAAGAAAGGCAGTATGAAACTTTGTGTTGTTGTCCGCTCCGTTATACTGTGTTTCTTGAGTTTCAGTTTCATCTTGCCTACCAGCGAGCTTTGATTTAGAGCTATATCAGCTCCTCTCTTGGTTCTCACATCCTCCATAGTCCTTCTGAACTTTTTATTGATACAGATATGGTCGATTTGGTTCTGATTAGTGTGATCTGGTGAAGTCCATGTAGCTTTGTGTATGCGTTTGTGTGGGAATAGTGTTCCGTAAATGACCAGTTTGTTGAAGGCACATAGTTTTGCAAATCTCTCACGGTTTTCTTTCCTTTTTCCAAGTCTATGTCGTCCCATGATGCCTTCATATCCAGTGTTGTCCATTCCAACTGTGGCATTCAGGTCTCCCATCAGAACCATTAAATCTTTTGATGAGCATCTCTCGATGATTGACTGCAGCCTCTCGTAGAATTGTTATTTAATGTCTCCATTGTAGTCGTTGTTAGGCGCATAACATTGGATGACGTTCATTGTAATGCCTCCTTGATTTGTTTGGAAGGATGCTTTGACGGGCCTGAGTCAATGTTAATAAGTTAATAGTTATAAAGCCCTCTTGTAGTGAGAGTAACAACGTTTAACTGAATAAATTAAATTAGTTGATAATTTATAAAAGTTGAAGACACTGATCCAGTTAGTTATCTAAATAATCCATCATTAGTAATATGTAAACATACTTAAAATCATTGATACTGCTAACTGACCTACTTTAAATCTCTATCGATATGCAAGTGGTGCTGCACAGCTGTTTCACTTTAGTCCTGAACTATTTAACAGTGCATATCTACGATTTAGTAACAGTAAATCGAAGCTGGGATCTTCTGTCTCGTGTACGATCGCTTAATCTTCAAACTGCTGACCAGTAATCCAATGGTATACGTGTCTACTTTCGACTATTTCGATTTGCTTGAATAAATGGCACTTGAGAGTGAACATCACTTGAATGATTAGAAGTTCATCTACATTTTATTTATTCATACTATCATTTAAAAGTTTTTTACATTTCAGAAAATTACGTTAGTTTATTTTAATCTAAGCTTCATACTATTAATTTCTCTCATTAACTGACATTATTTTTTTATATTCTGCTTATTTTTCTACACAAATTTTCAAATATAAACTAACTGTATTAATTCATCTTTTACTGATCAGGCATATGAATTCATTACTGATTTTGAGAAAAAGATTTTTTACTTGTTTAATTCACTTAACTTAGAACCATTAATGAAAGCAAAATAAGTTTTTATTTTAATGTCATGTATAATCTTTACACATCAATGTAACTCACATTGAAACTTTTCGCATTGAAGTGAGGCCACAGCATCCGTGAGGCTTGTTTACTGCAATTTTTTCCATTTTTACCAACTAATAAATGATGACGCTTTGAAGAGTGGACAAATGTTAATTCACTTGATAAATTGGCAGTAGTAGTAGTAGTAGTATTTGAATCGTTTTTAATTTGAATCAACTTTACCCAACACAGTTCTAAATTATTTGTACTAGCCAAAGCTTCAATCAGTGGACCATTATCATACATAAATTTGTTAAAATTGTCATATTTTATAGCGCTAGATATAAAGTCAGAAACTGATAACTCTTCTCTCACTTTCATCTCACCATTGATAAGACGAACACATTTGTTTAAATGATACTCAGTACTCGATTTCTTGTGATCATTATCCCCTGAGTTGATAAAATTTGTCGCTGTGTCTCGACTAAAAGCTAATGATGACTCAGATAAATGTGTGGAATTTTTTCTGTTCGATAAGATATCGAACTTACTGGTTGCATTATACACTATAGGATCAACTGTACACATTTCGTCAAGTTGAACTGCACATTTTTTATCATGGTGACAATTTAGTTCCGTGGGGTCTTCTTTTGTTATTCTACGGTCCATAGAGGAATTGGAAAAAGGAAACACTGATGAAGTTAAAAACGACGACGGTACATAGTTCAATTCTTCTTGATGTCTTTCTCTATTCGTCCTACAATTTCTATTGTATACATCTTTTAATTGATTGTTACAACTCAACGACTTATTATCACCACATATCTTGGAATATGTTGTGTTTGGTGGACTGAGGACTTTACAATGGTTTGTTGTTGCTATTCTAGGTGTTAGTGCATAATTTTTAATTTGCTCCTGGTCATCGTTGGTATTACTGTAAAAATATGCGTGGCGCTTCGTTTGATTTTGAATGTTGGCCGAATCAAGATAACTATTTGAATGATTTATGATAGATATATGACCATCATTACTAAAGTGTGATGATGTGTCAGATAATAGATTTGTCAACGTTTTGTAAAAACAATTACTATCTTTCAGCTCCTGTGAATTTCCATAAATTATTTCATTTAAACGGCTCAGCCATAACAGTAATAATGTTGACGACGATGATGTAATTGGAGGAAGTGTTGTGACAGAAGTCGAAGATGTTACCGGAGACGGAAACGATCTTAATGTGTCAAACTGATTCGGTTGTGTAATAATGCTCTTCAAGTGAGAATACAACGCATGATCTTGTTGATTTACCAAATAACCTGATTTCATGCGATCTCTTGTGTAATTATTTGAGTTTGGTAGGAAATTTGTCAAGAAACTCGCAGTGTCTTGATGTTTTTGTTTAACCGTATCATCTACTGAATTATTCATATATGTAGTACCGTTTTCTGCACAGAACGGAAATAACTCTTTACAATTTGGCATAGGTTTATTTTGGCAAGATAAGGAATGTATGTTTGTTGGCATTAAGGAACTCAATGCTTGATTGTTTTGTAAAAAGGTAAGAAATCGTGTAAAGTCAGAATTAAACTGTGTATTGGGATTCGGACTGTTGAACACTGATTCAGTTGGATTATGTAACGTATGATGATTCATTGTCTTATAAAAAAAAAACAAGAAAATAGCAATCAGATTTGTTAGGAATATATTTGTTTGGAAATTAACTCTTAATAATAGTTGCATACGCCTATTTGTATTATGTTGTTCTGTTATGTGAATAAAATAAATTAGAAATTAATTTTTAATAGGCGTCATATTTCTAAAGCGTATTTAATTTATACATATAAGTGAACAATATTGTTTTCGATTAGATCGTCATGAAGCTTTACTCCAATATACATGAATATTTATATGAAAATATTAAACCAATCAAGGCCATTTGAGTCAATAATTACGATGAAATGAAATACACTACGTCACTACACATACTAGGCAAAAGTACAAGTTAATAGTAGGAAGACAAGTGTACTGATAGTTGTAAGAAAATTATAAAATACGGTCTAATCGAAAACACTATTACTCGTTTATGTGTATTATTCCAATTTTTACATTGGGATTCTGTAATATTGAATTTACAACAAATTCCTTAATGAAAAACCAAAGTAAAAGAATCGTGTTATTTGAAAACGTTGCTTAAATTGTCTAAACGCCAAATCTTTACTTCACATAAAAATAATTCAATGTTAAGTAAATTTTATTTAACATTCTGATACGTTAATCAGTAGTGTTCTTGTAGTATTATATTGATTAGAGATATCTTTTAAGTTCTCTGTTAATATTCACTGTTATATACTGAACTGTAAAATATGTAAAAGAGTGACTACAAAAACATTTATTTAATTAATTTTAAAAAAAGGAGAAAACTACTACTGTAGTGAAGGAAAACACAGGTGGGGCAGCCGAGTTGTATTTATCGAAAATTACAGAGTTACTCAGTAAAATCGGAAAACCATATCGTAAATCGTTAATTTGCAAAATATCAGTTCATCATATCGAACTGGACTGTTCCTGTTGCAAAACATCAATCCATTGTCACTATTCATACGTTTCATACAAATTCCATTGTTTTCTAACTCTTCCTTTCTTGATCTTCCCCCATCTTCTGCTGCCAGACATTACGTTGACACTCACGTCATATACTACTTATAAGTAGCTCGCACCACACTTCTACTGCTGAAGTAGTGTAATTTGTTTTCCTCATAATTAATCAATAGAATATTCTCATATTTAGTAAAATACTGGATTGTCAGTTACCTTAAATATAACAACAGTGTTTGAATAAGAAATCATACTTTAAGAAAACATATACAACCTGCTAATATTTGAATATATATTAACCGTTGCCAAACTATTAGCAAGTTAATAAAGTTTACTTGTATATAATTGGACAAATGATAGGACAACAGAAATGGGAAAAAACTTATCAGATAACGCTGTTTTCTTCTTATTTGTATAGGAAAAATATATAAATGTATAGAATCATTACTGAATTGAAAAACTTATAATTACTTTCTAAAATAACATGATAAATCTTAAATTTGCTTATAATAAACTTACTTAACGGTAGGTAATGAGGGAGAGAGAGAGAGCGAGAGAGAGAAAATGTTTTTCACATACTAGTGTTAATTATTCTACAAAACGTTTATCTTATATTGCATACTTGGACACACTGATTTCTTTTACAGTTGCTGTCAGTGATTTTGCCAGCTGAACTAATATTCCAAACAAACACACAATGTTGTGCAGAGAATTCCAATCGTCCAAGTGAATAAATAGTAAGTCGGGGGTTATATGAATAATTATTCTATGTAGATGCACAAATATAAATTTTCAAATGTTTATTTTTCAGTTTACCATTCAACTCGTGTGTAGATTCGTTGAATCTAGTTGTGTTCTACTCTCATAGAAACATATACAAAAGACAAAAAGATGTATTTCTATCTAACTATAACTAAACCAAGTGATACAATCGTAGCAAGAATTGATAGTGCTAAATTTGGTTTTGCACTCAAATATGGATAAAAAGCAAGTGAATATGATTTTCTTTCGGAAATGAATTGTTACATAAACAAAACTTATATAAATAGTTAACTGTGATTTACTGCTTATAAAATGAAAATAATGATAATCTTCTACATTTCCAAAATGTAGGACAAACAACTTGTGAATATTTATCGTAATATTATGCGGTCAGCATATGCACTATGCTACGCTATTCAATTGTTACATAATATATGAAAGTCATTTTTCATTTGATTGATATGTGGATGTGATTTACTACTGTATAAAGCCATCACATTTTCGAAAGAACAAGTCACTGTAAAAGGTTAAGCAGGTAACCGATCAATTCGAATAAAAATGTTGTTTAAAGTATCATGATTACTATGATAAACTATGATCATTGTGATTTAGAAAGTATTTCTCTGCTCATGCACTTGATTGAAACACGTCTACTTAAATGTGGGCTTTGAAGTTATCAGTGATAACGTAGAGATTACAGTTTGTTGTTTAAATCATCATGCTCTCAAGAATACACATTAAATTTAGATCACAATGTATATGTTAAATTCCAGGACACACAAAAATCCTATAATAAGTTACACCATTACTTCTGCAAGTCGGAATTTTTTACATTCAAAACAAGAAACATTTTCAGTAGTCACTACAACTATTTTAGATTATAACTTCATTAATAACACTAACTGATCACCTACTGCAAGATATGGATCACATGTGTCATATTTGTAAAAATTATTCATATATTAGTACTGAAGTCAGTAAACGGAAATTTCATATAACAATTTTGATGTTGAAATATAAACGAAGTTGATTCAAAAAATGAACGCAATATTTAAATTACAATTATAACCTAACTTACTTCACGTTCAGTATAACTGTTTATAAAAATAAAATTACGATATTTCAGGCCATTCGTATCTTTACTATAACATAATTCAAAATAAGGAGTCCCTTTAGAAAATAAGTGAGAAATTATTGGTAACCTTCATCTTCACATCTCACTATCCCTATATCATAATTCAATAAAATGAAAAAATGTAGACTTTCTAAAGACAGACAGATAGATACAACACAGAACTTCGTACGTAAGTACATCAGTTCAGGTTGCCATGCCCCATTAGCACAGAGACACAACTGTCAGTTCAAATCCAACAGTGATAGCAATGACAGAAGTATTAGCAGTAATGGAGAAGATTAGCGAGCGAAGATATGATTCGAGAAGTATAATTCAGTAAGATAAGACTTTCTAAAACCAGATAACTGTTTACTTAAAATCTGATTGCATGAGCTACCTATTCATTGGTATATATCCTATTGAGATGGGATGAGATCACTACTAAACGACTTCCTGTTATTAAGTATTTATCGTGAATTGATAAGGACTGGGATATCGTTTAGAAGCAGGAAACATTCGAAAACTGTTTCATCTCAGTATGAGATTCCCTAGCAGAAGAGAAACACGATCTCACTGAGGAATGAACATAAAATCTTCAAATGTTTTGTAGCTAATTTTCAGTGGTGATTAAACTAGCATCGATTCCTGGCGAATACGTTCTACAAATTAAAGTAATCTCTACGAAACACTTATTGTGGTGGTGTTTCGTTCTCTGAGCTGGTTGTTTTGGTTGTGGAGCTTTCATTGTTCTTCTGAACAACATCATCAGCACAAACTTCAGATAGAAAATAATGATTGAAAATAATGACTTCTCTAACTGAAGATAAGTGATCTTTAAACTAATTATTAACTAGTTCAGTATGCTCAGTCAAATCATATAGACACATATATATATGAAAATACTTTTATTAAACGTCTACGGTTAACTAACAAGTGTAATTATTAAACGTGTACTAAAATAAAGGTTTAATACACAGATGGTAAACACTAAACACTTGTAATATAGTGAGGTTTTACTCAGTAATTTTATTAAGTGTGTGAATTGGAATAAACGTTTGATTAACACTCCAGTTTGATCATTAGCCTGACATATCGCTAATCACGAATTTTCGAGTAATCTATTCGGATATTATATAATTCAGATTCACTTTTTTTTCAGAGCGATCCGCTTACCTTAATTCGTGTTTGAATTAAAGTAACATTAGTTGTATGGATGTTTTATCCATAAATTTTCATCGTCATCATACAGTGGTCATTTTCCAGCTTCAATAAATGTTTTTTAACCAGTGTGTAAACAACAGGATGAACCACTGAAGGTTCTGGCCTAGCATAAAAATTTCACACCGACTTGACATCGGGTGAGTTTATGTTTCTAGTCTTAAGTATGAACCGAATTTGTTGGGTTATGTGATTGACTAGTTAAAGTGATTCTATAAAAGGTCAGATACAGCTTCAATAACTCAATATTAACATCTCTTTCTTTGTTTCTGAATAATGCTGGTTGAAAACCTATGGAACTTAATGTAGTCTTCTCAAGATAACTAGTTATTTTACCATGAACGAGAAACTAGATGACAATTTTTAAACGCCTTACACAATTTTCGATGGGAAAAACATGATCGATGCTATCTACAAAACATAACGTTATAAAGTAAATCACTGTACCAATGTAATAATTCATTAAGGATTTATTTGATGAAAGAAATTCCCGTACTCTGTGAAATCATGTTTTTGAAACATCCCTATTAAGCCTCTAAAACAGATTAGATCATTTCATCAGTAGGTAATATTTATAAGTAATTTAGTGCACATGGATTTCCAGTTCAAAATTTCGAAAGCCTGAATACATTCATATTTACTTTCAAGAGTCTAACTAGTTATACTGTTTACTAACCCAGTAACCAGAATAAATATTCTGCTATTATCACTGAATACCTTAGAACTATGACCTACAACTATGCGTCAGTTAAAAATATGACTTGACCATCTTTCTGTTTTTAACAATCTCTTTTAATTCAGGGTGCTGAATAAATATACTATCACGATAACATAATCAACCTGATTTATTTATTCACAAACATGGTAAGCTAGTCGATCAAGTTGCTTAGCTGTGTAGACTGAAGCATTCTAGCTACATGTAAAAATGGGCATAATGTTAAGAAATTAAGTAAAGAAATTAACT